AAAAACATTATTAATGGACACAATCCCAGCCATAGTCCTATGAAATCTAAATGATAAAACTCTACTGCGTTCATAAATAAAGCTGTTTGTGTAATTAAGGTATTGGGGCTCATTCACATGGGTGCTGTGGCCTGTAGAGTGTGAATCAGTGGTTTTTGTGGCTGTTGTCGTTTGCAGGCAACCTATGTTGCACTGTGGAAATACTGCAGGTCCTAATTTGACAAGCATATGGGTGCAGGTGTACAGCCCTGAACACAGTGAGCATTCAGGGCCACTTCCCATGCCTTCACACCTGTCAGATTAAAACCTGTGTTCATACAGCTGCTGTGTCCCCGTAGTGTAACAGGTGGCTCCAGCCACATGAACAACCCACTCAATTCATGCTGTACAGGCCAGAGGACCTGTGCGAATGTGGCATTTTTTATTTTTTATTTCCTTAGCTCATTAATTTCAATGGGCTGCCTAACGTGTGGGAACATGCAAAAATACTGCAGGCATATTATTTTAAAAGTGTGTTGCACCTAACCACACAGTAGTGTGGTGCCATGAGTTTTGGTGGCTGTGAATGCGTCTGTGTTTACTAGATGTGTGGAGGTGCAGTTAAGTTTTCATTATGGTACCTGCGCACATCTGCAGAGAGCATTGCATTTTTTTGCTGTGATGGAAAAAAACGCGCTCTTGCATGCGTTTCTGCACCACAAATGATGTGAACAAGTCCTAAGGGCCAGTTCACACTATAGAAACACAGTCTAGATGTGTTCCAGATGCGTTTTTGCATGCACTTTTTTGATGTGTGTTTCAGAGCATTTTGGATGCGTTTTTGACGTGTTCCAGTGCATTTTGGTTGCGTTTTTTTTTACGTGTTTCAGTGCATTTGGGATGCATTTTTTACGTGTTCCAGTTCATTTTGGATGCGTATTTGATGTGTTCCAGTGCATTTTGGATGCAGTTTTTACGTGTTCCAGTGCATTTTTTTATGCATTCCAGTTAATTTTTCCCCTCTCTTTTTCTTCAATCTAATTAGGGACATGTGCATTTTAGTGCGTTCCAGTGCGTTTTACCATGTTCCAGTACAGTTCTATGAATAAACAATGCAGCCCATTCGACTTTTTTGGCAGCACCTGCAACGCACTGGAACTGCAAGCGCTGATAAGAACTATGACATTGACAACCATATAACCTTCTTTCTGTGCGTTTTGGATTCCAAAAAAGCAACTGAAACACATGTAGTGTGAACTGGCCCTAAAGGTTATTATAGGTAAGGGAACTGGACTGACCAGGAATTGTGAATTCAATGAGACAAGTGGTGAGATACAATCAGGAATCTTATAATAATGCAAGATCTGAGCTGGAGGTGATAGGAAATGAGACACATTAACTTGATCAGTACATAAATATTAAAAAAAAAGAGGGGCGGTGATACATAGATTTGCAGATGGAACAGGGGGGTAAGGGAGGGGGTCAAGTTGTATAAGGAGAGAGGTTTAAGGGCTCGTTCACACTTGACGTTATTTCTAACTCTTGCCAAATGGCCCTATAGCGTTTGACAGGTGTTTGGGAAGCGGTTTTAACGCTCCTCAAATGCTCCCCAAACGCCCTGTGCGTGGTTTTGAGGCAAGTGATAAGTGTTTGCCAAGTGTTAAAACTGCACAAATTGCCTGTAATAAAGTTAAATGGTATAAAGCTCCGAAAACGCCTCGTAACCGCACCGCAAAACATCTGCCAGGTGTTCGAGGAGCGGAACCATAGACTTAAATGGGAGGCTTCAACTCCTCCTGACTCGACATGAGGCGCCAGTTTTGCCGTGACGCAACGCTAACGCTTCAGTGTGAACAGCACTGTGTGCTGCCATGTGCAGAAATGTCATAGGCGTTTGAGAAACGTAAAAAACTATTTAAAATATCCACATGGAGTAATAAAAATAATAGCAAAGTGAGTACCAAGATGGCCACCGATCCTCAATGGCGGCGACGTGGTGTCAGCAATAGGGCTCCACCCACTGTGTTTCATGTACCAACGCGTCCTATTGGTGCGCCCGAGGACGTGTTGGTACACGAAACGCATTGGATGGAGCCAATTTTAAATTGTTACTCGTGACCATTATAATAAAGTACTACACTATTAAGCACATTTCTGGCTCCTGTGGCTGAGCTAATTCCTCCCCAGGACCATTTTAGCACCCACCCAGATGGATGGAGCTGGATGACTAACCCTTAGCAGCCACCATACTGCTGCAACCCCACATGTGTGATGTGTATAACCCATTTGCATTAATACTATTGTTCTGGTGAGTGTACACCCGTTCAAGGGTGGATTACCTTTCACGAGTTCATGCACTACTGTTCGTCACGGATAAACCACAAGTGCCATTCATAGGCACTCTCTGAGTTGGTACTCTCACACGAAGGACATTCCATTATTCAGGAATGATTATATGAACTTTTTTAGCACCATTTACCAGTTTACATCATTATTGCACTTATTTGCACTTTGTTGACTTTACATCCGTTTATGATTGATCACATGCATTTATAGCGCTACACTATTACTTTAACATAGAATAGTTACATGATTAAAGAGAATAAAGATATATAATTATATTGGGAAATTAGAACTAGACATTCCCAATTATTTGAGATATACCGTAAGTGTGAAAATGTTTGACATTTGAAAATAGAATGTATGACATTCATTAGGAAATGCATTAGTTGTCTGATCATTTTGGAGAAACAGCAACCCAAAAAAATAAATAAATAATAATATAGGTGCACGTTTTATTTTAAATGATAAGTATTCTCATATGCACACAGAAAAACGCCAACTGGACAAAGCCTGCGGTGCGCCACCTAGCGAACATATCCGGTATTGCATCTAGAAATATGCTAGATGTGATTCCGGATTTACTAACATGAAAAGAGTCTACAAAGTAGACTCTTTTCAATGAGTTTGCTAGATGCCTTTCTGAAGACTGACAGGTCTTGATTGATTGAATTGAGTCTACCTAAATGTCTGCTGGTAGACTCAATTCTTAGTAAATCAGGGCCATAGTGACAGCCAGTCACTGTATACACTCCTCCTCTCCTGCCTTTATTATTATTATATTATTATTATTATTATTATACAGGATTTATATAGCACCAACAGTTTGCTCAGCGCTTTACAATGTAAAGGGAGAGAATATAGCAACAATACAGTACAATACAAGAGGGATAGAAGGGCCCTGCTCCTTGGGGCTTACAATCTAAGAGGGAGGGGTTAGTGGTACAAAAGGTAATAGCTGTGGGGGATGGACTGGTAGGAAGAGTAGAAGATTCCATTATTAGCTGAGGGCAAGATAGGCTTCCCTGAAGAGATAGGTTTTCAGAGATCGACTAAAAGTGAGCAGAGTAGGTGATAGTCTGATAAATTGGGGTAGAGAGTTCCAGAGGATGGGAGAAGCTCTGGAGAAGTCTTGGAGACGAGCATGGGAGGAGGAGACAAGAGAGCTAGAGAGCAGGAGGTCTTGTGAGGAGCGGAGAGTACGGTTTGGGTGATATTTGGAGACAAGTTGCTGATGTAATTTGGGGCAGAGCTATAAATGGCTTTATATGTTATTGTTAATGTTTTGAATTTTATCCGTTGGGCAATGGGAAGCCAGTGGAGGGATTGGCAGAGAGGGGTGGCTGATACAGAACGGTTAGTAAGGTGGATGAGTCTGGCAGCAGCATTCATGATAGACTGACGAGGGGATAGCCTGCGATGAGGTAGGCCAATGAGGAGAGAGTTACAATAGTCAAGGCGAGATATAACAAGGGAGTGAATAAGTTGCTTAGTGGTTTCCGAGGTTAAGAACGGCCGTATCTTGGAGATGTTGTGGAGGTGAAGTCTTCAAGATTTGGACAGCGATTGGATTTGGGGCTGAAAGGACAGATGGGAGTCTAGGGTTACACTTAGCACCCTGGCATGAGGGGAGGGACTGATGATTGTATTATTGATTTTGATGGAGAAGTTAGGGGAGGGGGCACGGGCTGGAGGGAATACTAAGAGCAGTTTTGGAAAGATTGAGTTTGAGGAAGTGGAGTGACATCCATGCCGATATGTCGCTTAGTTGGTTATTAATGCGAGAGGAGACTAAAGGGGTGAGGTGAGGGGTAGAAAGATAGATTTGTGTGTCAGCATAGAGATGGTACTTAAAGCCATGGGAGTTTATCAAGTGATCAAGGGAGGAGGTGTAGATGGAGAAGAGTAGGGGCCCAAGGACGGAACCTTGCAGGACCCCTACAGAAAGATGGAGTGAAGAGGAGGAGGCAGCATTATAGGTAACACACTAAAGGAGCGCTGCGATAGGTAGGAGGAGAACCAGGAGAGAGCACAGTCTCGGAGGCCAAGAGAGTGGAGTTTTTTGAGGAGGAGGGGATGGTCAACCGTATCAAAAGCCGCAGAGAGGTCGAGTAGTAAGAGTACGGAGTAGTAGCCATTGGTTTTAGCAGTTAGGAGATCATTAGTGAGTTCTAATAGGGCAGTTTCAGTGAAGTGTAGTGAGCGAAAGCCAAACTGTAAAGGGTCAAGAAGGTTGTTGTCAGTGAGGTAGGAGCTCAGGCGATTGTAGACTAGGCGTTCTAAGAGTTTAGAGGTAAATGGGAGCAGGGAGATGGGTCTTAAGTTGTTCAGGTTGGTGGGGTCCAGGGAGGGCTTTTTAAGTATGGGAGTGATGTGTGCATGCTTTAGAGGGGAGGGGAAGGCCCCGTTAGAGAGGGAGAGATTGAAGATGTGAGTGAGGAAGCATAGGACAGAAGTAGTGGGTGACCGTAGTAGTTGTGAGGGGACAGGATCCAGGGGGCAGGTGGTGAGACGGGCTTCTGAGAAAGGAATGGACTCAGCACTGGTGGTGGGACTCATCTGCCGTGTGGGCTGCAGTACCAGAGCTGACCAGCGGGTGCTCTCAGCAGCCAGAAGCTCACACGTGCAATCAGCCAAACCTGGGGCTGATTGCAGAAAGGTGTATTTAAGGCATGACCAGGCCTGTGATCTGGGCCTTGGTGTATGTTTTCCCATGAGCTTCTGTACCTGGTATCTTGTGTTCCTGCTTCGTTGCTGACCTGGCTTGATCCTGACCTCTGCTGACCGTCTCCTGTTGAACCCCTGGCTTGCCTGACCATCCTTCTGCCTGATCCCCTGTACCACGCTGCCCGTGAGTTACTGAACCCGGCTTGTGACCTTGACCATTCTCTGCCTGCTCCTTTGGTACCTTGCTGCCCGCACGTTGCTGACTTGGCCCGTCTGACCACGCTAACTACTCTGCCATCCATCCATCCTGCACGGATCCAGCCGTACCTGCACATACCTCTGGCGGATCCCTCTACCACTAGCAGGTGTACTCAGGGGCCGCAACCTGGTTCCTGTCTGCTCCAAGTCCATCCCCACCATCAGGGGCCCTGGTGAATAAGCAGACTGGGACTTAGACTCCGCGCCCTGGGGAATCCTGTCCTGGGGACCACTAGAGGTACCACCAAACGGTCATTACAGAAACCTACGGCTGGCCTGACCGTTCCACCTCTCCAGCCCTGACTACGCCTGTGTTCCTGCACCTACTAAGATTAGTGGAAGGTTGGGTTGTTCATTGTGCATTTATATATATATATCTGGGTGGCTAATAATAAACTGTATTATTATACTATACCTGAAACCTGCATTTCCCTGTGTCAGTCCACACCTTTCTGGTCATTCCTAGATTCCTGACACTAAGTGGGATGGATGTCTGTGCAATCTCGTGAGCAGTGAGTGAGGTGCTGGGTGGAGGTGAAAGTGGAGAAAGTAGAGAGTTAATAGTAGAGAAGAGACGACGAGGACTGGATTATCATCCATCCATCAATATCATCAGCTATTGATGAGAGTGACAAAGTAGGCTTGTTTGGCAGCACGGAGGGAGGAATTGTATGTTAAGAAAGCAGATATATAGGGTTAATGCTTGTTGAGATTTGGTTTTACGCCACAATCGCTCCAGCGCAAGACCATGTCGTTTAAGATTTCTGGTGTCGTCAGTTTGCCAAGGTTGTAACGGTCGGGGCCTGATGCCTCGTGTTGTTAGAGGAGCAAGTGAGTCTAGTGTGGATGAAAGCAAACTGTTGTAGACAGTAGTGGCCAGGTGAAGGCAGGACAGGGGAGAGATTCTGTCATAGAGTTGGTCAGTTACAGAGTGGAAAGGAGCAGGGTTCAAGTTGTGAAGGTTTCTGCATTGTTTGCTACTTGGAGGGTTAAGTGTTTGAAGAAGAGGACACTGTAAAGGTGATGAGATTGTGATCAGAGAGAGGAAAGGGGGTGTTTGTGAGGTTGTAGGGAGTGCAAAGATGGGAGAAAACAAGGTCTAATGTATTCCCATCATAGTGAGTGGAGGACTGTATACATTGTGCTAATGCAAAAGATGAGGTTAGGTTGAAGAGTTGGGATGTAGCCAGGTTGTTGACATTAATGGGGATGTTAAAATCTCCAAGAATGATAGTGGAATGATATCCGCCTCCCCCCCACATCTGCAGTACACACAGTTCCCTGTATCGGCAAAATTTCTCTGCAGAATGTCAATAGGTCTATTTTTGGCCGATATGTTTCGGTGGCCGAAATTTCGGTGCATCCCTACTATATACCATTATTAAACATGTGGATGCTATTGAATCGGTTAAATGGGCATTGGAGAATTCTGATCTGTCTAGAAAACAATCGGAAATATATTCTGTGTGTCTCGAGTTTGGTCTACATCATAATTATTTTTGGTATGACCAACAGTAATTCCTTCAGACCACCAGGGTTTGCTCCCAGTGTGGCCAATCTATTTTTGGCACACTGGGAGTATGAGGTAGTTTTTCTTTGTAATTCCTTTATTTATTGCCAGAGATTACATAGTACAATATAAACAGAAGAAGAACAAATGGCATGTAATTAACCAAATTAAGAATATGCAGGAGTAAAGTGTTATAATTATGCAATTAAGAGAAACAAAAGAAGGGAGAAAAAGAGGTACTCGTGACTGAATCAGAGAGAAACACAGTAGGTCACACTACTACAAATAGTCTAACAGGGAGCACTGGAGGACAGGGACCAAGAGATAAAAAACCATATATAGATAAAAATAACCTGCTCACCGGAGGTTTCTCAATAACCCAAAAAAGAGAACAAAGGATCAGGCACTACATAGGAGAGGTTTATTTGAGAAAAATTATCATATACAATGGGAAACCAATGAGTGAAGCTAGGATGGAGGGAGGGGAGGAGCAAGGATAGAGGGTAGGAGGTGGGGGGGAGAAGGTAGGAAAAAAAAGAAGGGGAGGAGGGAGGAAAGAGAAGAGAGAAAGGGTCAAAAGCGAAGGGAAAAAAGGATCACAGTCAGGATTCCACAGAGGAGACAGAAAGGATAGGACTTAAAGGTAAGAAAAAAGACAATTAGATGGAGCAAAGCACAACATCTCTCCCACACAGGGTCCACTCCAAGATAGAATGATATACCTCAGACAGGCTGAGTGGTCCCCTGAAGATACGATTCGGTATAAACAAAGTATTGCCACGGTCTCCAGGTGTCTCAGAAAGTCTCCCCACGGTCTTATAGAGTGGCCGTGAGCTCCTCCATATCTCTCAGCTCGTTGACTTTGGAGTACCAAAGGGATTTTGTGGGTGGGTGCACAGGCCTCCAACACAAAGAGATGCAAGCCTTCACTGAGTTTAGCAGTTGAATGGTCGAAGCCTTATACTTTTTAATGTGATGATCAGTAAGGTGCAGCAGACACGCCACTGAGTCATTCGCCACATTGTCAAGATATTTGATAGTGCTGGTCACTATCTGCCAGAACGGTTTGATTTTTGGGACAAGCCTGGAAGATGTGCAATATCGTACCCCGGTCAGAACCGCATCTCTAACAGAGGTCCAAGACCTGAGGGAAGATTTGATGTAGGGTCAAAGGAACCCTATAACACCTGGTCAAAATTTTGTAGCTAGTTTCCTGGACCTTGGAGGAAATGGAGGATTTCTGTGCAAAGTGGATAATTTTCTCTTTTTGTGTTTCAGTGAAAACGGACACTCAGGTCAGCTTCCCATTTAGAAAGAAAAGAAGTAAAAATGTCATGCTTAAGACCCATCTCTCTGCTGCCATTTACCTCTTAACTCCTATAACGCCTAGTCTACAATCGCCTGAGCTCCTACCTCACTGACAACAACCTTCTTGACTCTTTACAGTCTGGCTTTCGCTCACTACACTCCACTGAAACTGCCCTATTAAAACTCACTAAAGATCTACTAACAGCTAAAACCAATGGACACTACTCCGTATTCTTACTACTTGACCTCTCTGCGGCTTTTGATACGGTTGACCATCCCCCCCCCCCTCAAAAAACTCCACTCTCTTGGTCTCAGAGACTCTGCTCTCTCCTGGTTTTCCTCCTATCGCAGCGCTCCTTTAACCTATAACGCTGCATCCTCCTCTTCACTCCATCTTTCTGTAGGGGTCCCTCAAGGTTCTGTCCTTGGACCCCTTCTCTTCTCCATCTACACCTCCTCCCTTGGTCACTTGATAAACTCTCATGGCTTTAAGTACCATCTCTATGCTGATGACACACAAATCTATCTTTCTACCCCTCACCTCACCCCTTCAGTCTCCTCTCGCATTACTAACCTACTAAGCAACATATCGGCATGGATGTCACTCCACTTCCTCAAACTTAATCTTTCTAAAACGGAGCTCTTAGTATTCCCCCCAGCCCGTGCCCCCTCCCCTGACTTCTCCATCAAGATCAATAACGCAATCATCAGTCCCTCCCCTCATGCCAGGGTACTAGGTGTAATCCTAGACTCCCATCTGTCCTTTCAGCCCCAAATCCAATCACTGTCCAAATCTTGTAGACTTCACCTCCACAACATCTCCAAGATACGCCTGTTCCTAACCACGGAAACCACTAAGCAATTTATTCACTCACTTGTTATATCTCGCCTTGACTATTGCACTCCCTCCTCATTGGTCTACCAAATCGCAGGCTATCCCCTCTTCAGTCTATCATGAATGCTGCTGCCAGACTTATCCACCTTACTAACCGTTCTGTATCAGCCACCCCTCTCTGCCAATCCCTCCACTGGCTTTCCCATTGCCCAACGGATAAAATTCAAAACGTTAACAATAACATATAAAGCCATTTATAACTCTGCCACAAATTACATCAGCAAGCTTGTCTCTAAATATCACCCAAAGCATACTCTCCGCTCCTCACAAGACCTCCTGCTCTCTAGCTCCCTTGTCTCCTCCTCTCATGCTCGTCTCCAGGACTTCTCCAGAGCTTCCCCCATCCTCTGGAACGCTCTACCCCTATTTATCAGACTATCGCCTACTCTGCTCACTTTTAGTCGATCTCTGAAAACCTATCTCTTCAGGGAAGCCTATCCTGCCCTCAGCTAATAATGGAATCTTCTACTCTTCCTACCAGTCCACCCCCCACAGTTTTTACCTTTTGTACCACTAACCCCTCCCTCCTATATTGTAAGCTCCAAGGACCAGGGCCCTCCTTTCCCTCTTGTATTGAACTGTATTGTCTTCCATTCGATTGTAAAGCACTGAGCAAACTGTTGGCGCTATATAAATCCTGTATAATAATAATAATGCTGACTGATCAGAGCAGAGTAAAGAATGCAAAGGCAATGCTAAATGCCATGGAGGTAAAATTAGAGGGTACTAAAGTGAAAGGTATTTATGCACTACATTTCCCTCAGAGGAGAGGTGACTTTGATAGAGAACTATTAAAACATGAGAAATATTGGATTTATAAACTTGATACTCTATTCCAAAAAGGGTTAAATATTGAGTGCGATCTTCAAGTATTTTTAGAAAAATAGCCAAGTGTGTGGAATTGTAGATTAGCAGCGCCACCTTGTGGGAAGTTTGGTGGCAAACATTTGACCCCTCTTAATGACATAAGAAAGTAGGACATTTCTCCTCCCTCTTGGTGTGCCCAGGTGTCTACTCTTTTAATTGAGTTATATGACCAGCTGTCTTGCTAACTAATTAGCTCTTTTTCCCATTGAGAATGATTGCCAGCAACCGATTTGCATATATGGGCGGTATTGAGCCCAGAATAAATAGGAAGCTGAAAGGCAGATGTCTCATTGGTCCTGACGAAGCCGAGTGAGATACGCCCATCGGTGAAACGCGTTGACGTCATACGTCAGATTAGTCACTTCCGGTTTCATGCATTGGCGCCATACACGTTGACCAGCAGGGAAGCGGCCATATTTGTGCGCCACGAGCTGTGCTAGGCTGCACAGGCACCAAGGGAGAACGGAGCCCGCCAGTCACAATCCCAATGTTAGTGGCTGTTCCTGGGACTATGCCTGGTAATCCAGACGCAGGAAACTTCCAGAAAGTATCACCTATGGCTCGGGTGGTGAGTGAACTGTCACACAGCTAGATGAAAAGGC